ACAGTGCTGTAGCGCTGCTACAGTGAGCAAAAACACACATTGTCGAGAGGCTCGAAATAAATTTGTGTTTGAGCGAGTGTACTTTTGTCAGCTAGTTCCATACACAGCAACAGAAAGCTGGAAGGCTGAAATTTTGCGAGCGTTTTCTTAGTATAAAACCTGAAATCACTGCTCATAACGGTCTGGGTCGTGCACGCTGGAGGTTCACGCAACCCTGTTATGCAATACCATCATCCCAACTAACACCGTTTTCCCTCTGCACAAAAGAAAACGCCAAAAAACAGTCAACATGTGCCAATGTGTTAAACTGTAACGCAGAAACCGTTCATGCTATTAACGATCTGAATGCTACAAGTTTAGCACAAAAACGCATGAAGTCTGGATTTCAAGAAGTCTTCTGAATTTCAAGAAGTCTCGTGTAGATTCTGGCTCATGGTTACTTTCTAACTTGGAGAAACGTAATTGTTATCTTTCAAATCAATTGCGCTCATACGCCATGTTGCCGTAGAAGTAGTAATGGTACCTCATACCACTATCGAATTTTAGATGTGCTAAGTTAAACTGCTGCAGCATCTCACTTATTTTGCGGATGTTGCTCACAGTGATGACTGTTTCATCCGCAAAGCATAAATTGTTTGGCTGTTTATTACTTGTCGCAGAAGTCTGGCGAAAAGCCGGCAAATGAAGTATGTGCATGCAAATGGGCAAACTGTGTGTGAAGCTTAGAGGCCGGTGGTCTAGTGGTAACACGTTGGATCCGGGCGTAAAGAGGAGTGATTCGATTCCTTCCCGATCCAGAACAGTTTTCGAAAAAAAGCTCCGTCGCGACACCACTGATATTCAGAGCATTATTTGGCCCAGTTTAAATTTTGTCTGAGGAAGAAACGCCAATTCGCGGCAATTAAAGTTGGGCGAAGACGACGACGTCCTGTTGACGTAATACTCAAAATAGTGAAGAAAACTGATATGAAACGGCAAATTTTGCGTGTCCCTATATTTCCTGCACCACAATTTTTGCAGGATAATACGGGGTTTTACGCTGGCAACGAGCACACAAGGTTTGGCGGAAGTTATAACATTTTCGAAGGCTGCGAGCAGACGCCGAGTATCTTTCCGAGGTTCGCGCAGCAGCAGCCAGTAATGAGCTATCCTACACCCCAGCAATATGGCCCATATTCAGCGAAATATGCTGCTGGCGATGCGGTGGGTTATTATCCGCAACAGCAGATATGTGCACAGCAACAAGCATATCCAAGTAAGTTTTGAAGTATCTGCTTCTTAGTTTAGATAAATAACACAAGATGTATTTAATTCACCATGCATTTTTATGCGTTTTTGCTGTGCAGCGCTATAGCAGCGCTATAGCGCTGCTACAGCCAGC